CCAATACATTATATATGTTGTACTTCAGAAAACTGAAGTTAATCAGGAGAGAAATATTTTTGACACGAATGATTCATCCAAATTTATGTTAAAAAGAGATATAGTAAGCAGGTGTTAGTCTCGCGAAAGAAGGAAACGATCATTGGAAATATAGTATATGTAATTGTATATTTATAGGTCATTTCACTAATATTTTACATTTAAATTTAAACTTTTTCTCATCTTAAATCACTTTTTATCATAATCTTAATTTTGTGAATGAGACTTATATCACAATGAGATATTTAAACTCAGAGTCATGTATACCAATATTGACTACCTAAATGATTAGCTAATTATTAAATTCACTTATACCACTTCAGTCACATGCCTATGTGTTTTGGTTACTTTCTTTACATTTCAAAAGTAATTCCATATATTGAAGCAATGTTTGAGTTAAGCATTGCGTACAAAATATACTGATATATGCTTCACCCTGAGGAAAGAGCAGTTTCTCGACCACACTACCATGCAAATATCGAATAAGTGAGTGACATATTCCCATCAGTGTTATTTAACTGAATCTGATGTAATTTAATTAACATAACTAAGTGAATTTCCCCATGCTTGACCCTGAAAGAAAAAAAAAATATTTGTATTGTGTTGGAATACAAATAGTGAAAGAGTAAGTAAGATATTCTCTTCAGTGTTATTAAACTGCTGCATATGTCTTTAATTTTGATTCCATATAATTTGTTTTTAATTATAACGGAAAGAAAAATATTTAAATACTGAACACTATTTCGAGTATAACAAAAGTATTTTAAGAAACAAGGTGATATAAATACAGTAGTTATTAAAAATATTTAATTTGTATGCAGGCTTAATTGAAATTAAGAATTAGGAAAAGATTACTTTTAGATAATACTGAAAATATATGTACTTCTACTGACATCTGAAGTGAATCAATATAAGTGAAAAAAAAAAGAAAAACCTTAAAAACTGTGATCACCTTAAAAAGACTGTGATAATCTATTTAAAAAGTATATTGGCGTTGTAAAGAAATTTGTAAAATTTTATATTAATCGAGTATGAATTTGGTGATTCAAATCCTTTTATATATTTTTTTCCTTGAGATATGTAATTTAAACTGAAAATCACGATCATATATTACTCACAGAGTATCAAAATGCATTTGTATAAAAAAAATGCATGAGCAATGAAAACATATGGGAAAATACTTTTTGATTATGTTATTATCATGGTTTTGGCAGTTCTGCCTTCATGTGTTCTATTCAACAAGATTTATTAAGTGCAGGAAATACAACATAAAAATATTTAAAATACTGCATTTTACAATATTTAGTTTCATTAATTGAAATATCATTTTTCATATTCTAATGCTTTCCTTTAAGAAAAGGATGTTTACAATTATTTTATCATTCGTACGAATTCTGAACATAAAATAAAAATTTACTTTGACAAAATACTTAATAGGAAAGTATATACCCGGTATTTCCGATATATTATTATACATATTACATATAAAAAGATCATTTTGCTTTAATTTAAATTTTTTCCATTACTGCAACAGATGCGTCGACTGATATACCTTGTCACTCGGGTTGACGTCACTACCAGCAACCAATGGCTCTTTCCGTTCCTGGCCTAACCTTTAGTATATTAAAGAACCTTGAGCCGCACCGAGTCGCAGAATTTAGGACCCACAACAACTGCATCAGATGGTAAGATATCTAGCGCCGGCCATCAGTAAGGCATAAGTATACGTGGGAATGTATTTATTCAGAACTTAAGCATATGCAAGAAATACTTAAGTATAATAAATAACTAATACAATTTAGGCTAAATTGTCTCTGTGCGATAGAAGCAAGATAAAATTTAACGGAATAACTTGTCATTAGTCCCCAAGCTCATGATGCATAGCCAAATATGTATAGTGAAGGATAGCTAAATTTGATGATGATAGCTGCTAATTTGAAAGGTTTTCGGATATCGCAAAACAAAGGTGAAATTTTCCGTAAAAAAAGGTAATAAATGAAGATGATATAAAAGAAGTTTTGCATTGCGATGACAATGTTTCTCAATCATCAATCAATTAATTAATGGTGAAATCTGTAGTATGATTCTAGGTCCAGAAAATACCACTACTGATAGTGAAGAAAGTTACAGAGAAGTTACTGAAAATGAGAAAAATTTCGATTGGCAAGTTAGTTGGAATTCTCGAAACAGCAGTTACATGACTTCAACAATATAACTAAACAGACACAGAAGAGATTATGTCTGTATACAGAATTAAAGAGAAAGTATTAGCACAAAAAAAGAAACAACTTACATTGAAAGAGATGTTTAATAGGGTCACCAAATAAATACAGTCAAAAGTCGTTAATTCGGACACCCATGATCCGGAATGATCTATAATCTGGACCTCAAAGCTAAAAACTTTCTGTGCATGCGGCGCGTTGACACATGCGCAACACATGCGTTTATGTGTGCGCGTAAGACCTTTACAACTGCGCATATGCATGTGCAGAATATGTTTTCGCGTGTGCGTTTAATGTATAACGGACGGTATGAGCTAAAATTATCTAATTATCTATTTCAGTTAATGTTGATGATTGCGTTGTTCCTTAATCTTCGAACTGGATCCGGCTTATTACTTTTTTCAGACTGTAAAAGCAATGTTATAAAAGTAAACTTGAACTTTCGATTATGTCAAATAGAATTTCCGATTCTGGAGCTTCCAAAGGATCGTACAAAACGAAAGTATGTTTTGATGTCCATCAAACAAAAAGTGTAATTGCTGCAAAAAATGGATAAAGACATGAAGAATGTGACAGAGAGGTTAATGAAAACGAAAAAATTCCGATTGACAAGTTAGTCGGTTTTCTCGGCACAGCAACAACGCTGTTAACGGGACTTGAACAGCGAAACTTTATAACTGAACAAGAAATTATGTCTGTTTATAGAATTAAAGAGAGAGTATTATCACATAAAACGAAGCAACTTAAACAACTTACATTGAAAGAAATGTTTAATAAAGTAAACAAATAAATATTAAGCTTTTTTTGTAAATTTTGATACCTTTTAGATTATAATTGTTCTTTATTTCATAAATTACGGTTTCATATTTTTAATTTTAGAATTTCTGCATGCCATCTTACGAGATTTAAACTGATGATCTATAATCCGGAAAAATCGATAATCCCGAATCGCCGAAGTCCCGACGAGTCTAGATTAACGACTTTTGACTGTATTAAGCTTTTTTTGTAAATTTTGATACCCTTTAAATCATAAATACTTCATTATTTCTTATTTTTAATTTTATAATTTCTACATGCCATCTTACTAGATTTAAAATGATGACATAATATCCGGAAAAATCCCAAATCTGGAATTGCCAAAATTTCGACGAGTCCGAATTTTGAACTTTGTAGTGTAATATGAATATTACCACACATTACACTTGGCCAGAGCATATTAGTGCTTAAATGAAATTTTATATGTAGCCATATTGTGATATAACCTTATGCAAATCTTTCCTTAACTTAATTATTATATTATTAGATATTATATATTAACACAACTACCTTAGTAGAAGTCAACAAATTTTCAGAATGTACCAAACTTTGATAGCCAGGCCCATAATAATTCTTCAAGCTACAATACTATTTTCGACGTTTTTCCCTCCCCGGCACTGTGTTCCAAGTTATAGAGGTTTCTATATTCAAACCACGATATTTTTTGCCTTAAATTTAATGTATGTTGCTTGTGAACTTTGCGTGTGATTATGGCAAAGCCTCGAGGGCTATCACTTGCTTGTGAAATTTGCCAGCAATGGAAGAACTGCAGGAATATATTTTGTTGCAAAATTGCTAAGGGAGCAATGATAAGGTGTAGACAGCTGGTAGAAAGAATGCCTTACAGCTAAAAAAATTCTGAATTTAGTTGAATGATCTCAAGAAAAAGATTTTTTATTTATATTTTTTTAAATTTACCATAATGGGTAAAATGAAGTAGCTCTTTACATATTGTAAGATAAATAATGAAATGATAAACAGAAGCAGAGATATCATATGCAGCCACATCGTAGAATTATGAAGATGTTTATAAAAATTTAGATATGCATTTAAACCACATGTAATATTGCAGCCACAGAAGAGAACACGGCCATAAATCATCTACTGACTTTTGAGACAGACTTCAGAGTAGCTTTTAAATTCCTTATTCTCATAAGGAACTGAACACCTGCTCTGCACGAGGTTACAGTAAATGTAATAAAGTTTTGAACTTGAATACATTAACGAGGAACTCAGTATCAAGTTATGTACTTTTGGAGTAAGGATAACTAAAAACATTAAATTCTGTTCTGCATATCCTAGCTGGAAGAATGTTATCTGGTATGATAAACTGCAATTTTTATTCTATCATGCAGCAGCATAAACAACATGAAGCTATACATCTTGCTAATAAGGTAGGGAATATAACACTTTAGATTATTTAATAGCATTCATTGCAATATCTTCCATTAGTTGGACTTTTGTTACTGGCTCAACCTAAGTAAACATGTCTGATATAATTATCTGTAATCTTTCACAAGTACATTTTTTTCCCTATAACAACCCTCATTTTGATAAGATTGTGTCACACTGCATTGTTCCCCAATGGAAAGCAGCTGGCTGAAGCAACATTGAAATGATTCCTTGATAGGCTGATTCAACAGTTTACAGTATAGACAGGAAATACTAGTTTGAACTGGAAAACCTTAGCTACTGGTCTACTTGAAGTACTAAACAGCAGTACCACTTTCTTATTACCACCACATAGAATCATCATCAAGATGTCCATTTATTGCCATTACAGCAAATGGAGACTAACACAGTATTTAATATGTGTGCATATTATTTTGTCCCTTTTGTGTATTTGCAGAGTAGCACAATAGTCTGAGAGCATTTGTAAGTAATAGTTGGGGGGAGGGACTAGTAAAATAATGAAAACACTCCAAAAGATAAAGTAAATATTTATTTACCCATCAGCTTTTGTTACACAATTCAAAAATTCTATACATATAGTAATTCAGGAAAATATACCATTTGACATATTATAAAATATACATTATTTTCTGCCTGGTAAAAGCAGCTTTAGCAATAGACTAAAAAAATTACCAAAATATAACCTCAGATATTTTCAGTTTCACAAAATATAAATCCCAGTATCCTGTAGAAAGGACTTTTAACAAGAACAATTATGCATTGTTATTTGCACTTGCATCTCAACAATTTTCTAGTAAATATGATTGAAGTTATATTACATATATTATTGATAACAATTAATACAAATCCATAGCATTACAAAAATTAAGAATATATGAAATGGATTTGTAAATTATTATTTGGGAAAAAATACATATTTTAGAAAACCCAGTTTTTAGTATCTAATATTTTAGGCAATACAGATTTTAAAAATTCCATAATACATTTTTTAAATACACATTACAAACTATTTATTTACTATAAAGTAATTCTGAATATTACTGTAAAAGTTCAGAAAATACTTTCTTTGTAATAAATAACTCTTACAATTTTTCTTTAAAAGCAATCTCATTTTTTCCAGCGGAATAATTATTCCTTTTTTACAATTAAAATGAAAGACCATGGCTTAATCAGTTACAGTTTAAGACATTTATAAAACATCTAAAATACTGCTAATTTAACATACACAAAGGAAGCAAGAGGTGATATATTTCTTATCCATTAAAAAATTTTAAAAGCACGAGTGCTTTTAAACTATAAACATTTAAGAATTTTTAAACTATTAATTATACAATACTACAAGTCATAAAATTTTAATCTGATACAAACTGAAATTTGCATAAAAAATAATTTGCAAAAATCTTACAAAACATATAAAAACAAATTCGGCTTCTTTTGCATATTGTAACATACTAATCACTCTGTGCAGTTTCAAAATGTGCATTAATACATTATGTTGTTAGTTGAAAAAGATTTTTTGATAAACTTATAATAGTAATGAAATGATATTTTAAAATAAAATACTAAATTCAAGAATGCCAACTTTTTTGTAAAAGTTTCAAAATTTCAATATAATATAAATTTAAATGAGTTATAAAGCACAATGTTCATTAAAAAAAATGGCAAGTTTAGAACAGATAACAATAATACATTTTCATGCATGGAAGGTATGTGAAATATTGAAATATACAAAATACAACAGTTTTAAAGCAAGAAAGTGTTAAAATAGATGAACCTTAACTACTGAGATATAAAAAAATTGACTTCTAAAATCTCATACCAGAACTGTTGCTTATCAAATTCAAAAATTAATTTTTAATAAAATAAAAATTTTGTAACTGCATGAAAAAAAGGAACGAATTTAATATAATAGATTACTTTTTTATTTCTTTCTCTCTCTTACCTCATTTTTTTAAATAATTTTTTAAAGGCTTACAGCTATTTTTATGATTATCATCAAGATATATTTCTCATTATGACGTCCTTTATTCCTTTACTTACTGTTTGCTAATTTAGCATCTTATGGAGATTGTACTCCCTTTCTTTTATCAGCACATATGAAGCAGTCAATTACATTGAGTACTTATTAGAATACAAGACGCAAGTTTGGAAATTTAATTCTTAGTTCATATTTTTTCAAGTTATTATTATTTTACAGTTAAAAAGGTCATAGCCTTTTTATACTTAAATAAAAAAAATTAGTTCTATATTACACAAACTTTCTTCATTAATATTTCTCCTCAGAGAACCCAAATCTAGGAATACTGCTCTAGAAACAATATTATTTTTAATATTCAATTTTCCATCAGAAAGAAATTATAAAAAGTCCTTTGAGTAAATGTAGTATCTGTGACCACTAACTAAACTAAATCCCATAATTACTGATTAAGTTGCATCGATTAAACATTTTTACTACTATTCTGATCTACTACAATAATAAAAATGCACTGGAAAACCACCTTTCAGGAATATTCAATAGAATTTGGCACAATTTAGAACAGATGTGACATCTATTGACACTAGTTATATATTGTATAATGCATAAACATATAAACTTGTAATCAAATAAAACTTATAAGAACATAGAAGCTTTTAATATTTTAATCACTATGATAAAATTGCAGTCTTTTTTCCCAAGCAGTAACATTCAAATACGATTTAAAAAAAAAAAAATTCAAATATATAAATTTTAACAAGCTAACAAATTGCAACTTTAAATAACAATATTTGGGTTTCTCTCATGTAATATGTGTGCAATATTGTTTATATATGAGATCTTATAAAAGGTATCAAAAGTATCACATTAACTCATTACCAAAGGGGGGAAATCACATTTAGCTTTAGAAGTTCAAAAGAACCAGTAAAAAGAACAAAGAACGGACCTAAGTTAAGATTTTTCTGATGAAATTTGGCTTCCATTAGATTTTTCAGCGAGAACTTCTTCATTGCTCCCACTAACATCAGTTTGGCTTACACTTGATCCACTAACTTTAGTCTAAAAAATTTGATTTTACACTTTTAAGTTTTATTGAAATCAATAGAAAAAACATGGGATAAAAATAATTACCTCAAGTGATAGAGAATATTAATAACTGTAAACAAAATGAATGTTTTTACTGGTTTATCATAAAGGTCTGAATTGATAGGGTTTTATAAAATCAGAAGAAAAATACAAATCTACACAAATTACTATATTTCTCACTTACATAAAACAATGAGGATAATAACAAATAATTTCAATTCAGTGCATTATTATATACAGAAGGAATCTTTCGCTTTATGTATATCACTTCAGTTTTCTGACTTGAGGGATTTTAAAAGGAAAAAGATTTAAAAAAAAATTCTAAATGATTACTGAAAAGAGGTTAATTTTCTACATAATGCTCAAACACTAATTTCTTTAGATACAAACAATATGCTGGAGTTTCTTAATACCAATAAAAAAAGTCCAATTTTCCTTTTGAAACCTAATTTAATTTGTCACATTCATTCATTTTTCAGGATGAATTTTTAAGTAATAACAGTAGAGGGAGGAAATAATTCAAGAGACAAATTTAATCTCTCACATATCAAAAGAAAATACTATGAAAAAAATTCAGTATAAATAACAAGTAATACCAAATTATTTTTGGAATATGTACGATTGTAGTATCATATTTCTTTTGTACATCTTATACTTAGAAATTACATAATAAAATTTTTTGTTTGCATGAAAAGTGATGTAGTCACATTTGACTAGAATGCCCTGGCAAAAGTAAATGCTGACATAAGAATACATGAAATGCTCAAAGCTGCAAAAATTATATCTGATGGAAGATAAAGATCCTCCACCTTTAAAGAGATTCTTGGTAAATAGAATAAAAGAATTACAAAAAAAAAAAAAAAAAAAAAAAAAAAAAAAAAACAAAAAAAAAAAAATATATATATATATATATATATATATATATATAGTAGCTGAAGAAGATATATAGAGAAAGCATTTTAGGAGGTTATGAGAAAGGGAGCTTGGGTTATATAAAACACCTGAAATTTGCCCGCAATAATCAGAACATATTTTTGCTAATATTATTAACATAAAGTAATACAAAAATATACAAATAACTATCAATTATTTACAGATACCTTTATGTGACCTTACAATCAAACCTAAAATACAACTTAAACTCTGAGATAATATATAAAAAAAAACATTTAAATATAACTCAGAAAAATAATAAAAGATTGCATTTAAATAATAAAATGAATTTCAAACATACTACCTGAATATATTCTTAATATATTTGAACTAATAAATTTTTATTTTAGAAATTTTCACCACAGTGTTATTTATCCAGAATGAAAATGAGCACTGAAGTGCATAAAAATAATAATAAAAACAAAGTAATGCTGTAATCTTATGCAAGAAAAAAAAACTAGTGCAATAAATATAACACTAAAAGATTATTACAGTACAATCATAAGTACTAGTATTATAAAACTCCCTATAAGAAAAATAGTGGAAGACAAAAATAAACATTAGAAATACACAGAGATTCTACCAACACCAGGGAAAAAACATATGTATATTTAAGCACCAACAACTGCAACAATTTTACTTTGTAGATCCACTTGAGCTATTTACCTTGACATTGGTATATGCAGTTCCAACTTTTTCCTCAAGATTCTTATAAGCTGCAGACTGCCTGCATAATAAAAATTGCAGTATGGTAAAAAACACATAAACCAAAACATTGATGATTATCGATACACTATTTAAATACAAAATCTATTTTAAAGTTAACTATTCTGGATAAATTTTAATTTTCATTAAATACACAAGACTGCAAAGTACAATTTTGTGTTTTTAATAAAACAATGAATATACCTAATCAAATGTATTCAATGAACTGTAGGCTAAATGCAGTCTTTCATTTAACATATATAAAATTAAGAATTTAGAGTTGCATTATAGGCAACACAAATCAGATGAAGTAGCTTTATTATGAACAACAAAACTTTTTAATCCATTCCTTTTTATTTCTTGAAATGCATCTTTAATAATAATGCATTCTTGTAAAGCTTATTAGCAATATTCCACCAAATGGTTATTTTATTAAAATTATTTAAAAAGGAAAGAGAAATCCCATGAATTTGGCTCATTAATTTAAGAAAAATTATTGAACTGATATTGGCTTGAAACAGGTAAACATCCTTTTCATTAGGTAAATGCAGTTTAATCACGACAGCCACAATCACAAACAAGCATGCACCTTTTAAAGAGATTGATTTCTTTAGATAGGGTGGATGGACATGAATCATGTAGTAGGGATTTTTCTTTACCCCATTTATTTTCACTGTGTTCATCATAATTAGCGATTAACTGTTTGATTACACTACATTTTAATTTGTGCATTTACTTATTTATTTATAGGTAAAATATGATTGTTTTTAAAACTTAATTTTGCTACATATACATAATTTTATGATAAAATGTAATGAATAACTATTATTGTATAATAATCTGATTTATAATTACTTATCACATTTTATTTTTAGAATTTTCATTATTATATTATTACAATAAATTCTAATATCATAATTATTATAATCATACTATAATTAATAATTAATTATATAGCTTTTTAACCTACAGCTCAAATGTATATGCATTAATACACACTCAAAAAAAATTCTTAACAATTAGTTATGATTAATATATGATAATAAATGATTATTTTAATTTTGTAGTAATTATAATAATTATGTTATAATAAATAATTATATTTCCTTTTGATTTTGCATTAAAATCTATATTGCATTATTGGAGGGAATAAAATTTATTTTAGGAAAAAAAAAAATTCTTGAATAAAAGAGCAAATGTCACATTAAATCAACTACGATCAGAAGCGATAACACTCAAATGGAGGTGGAAACCTGTTGACCATTTTTTTTTAACTACAAAAAGAACACTTTTCCTAATAAATAGAGTTCTATTATTTTTAGTGATATTATTTTTAAAAATAACTAAGGAAATATGCACTATTTGTACACTATGAAGAAAAAATTTCAGCATTTTTAGTTTCTGCGATTACAAATGAATGCAAATCTTCGCATTTATATGAAACAAATTCATGAAAGACAACGGATGACAGAGGGACATTCCGTACTTTAATATTTAACTTCCTCTTTTCAGTGAAGAGTGAACTCTCATTAGATCCCCTTGCATCATCCTCGCAGCACGTAATTAACATCTCTTTTCGATGATTTTAAATATTTTGGCAGAATGCTAGCAAAGATTATGTTTGCCACGGTTGAACTATAATTGTGTAGGAAACAAAAATGCATTTAATGCCACATCACATAAATCAAAGTTTATATAACTATGAGTTACATTAAGTACAACTATATTTTCTTAGTTTACTTTATAATTTAGTTTTCTTACTTTACGTAATAAGGACTTGATTACTTAATTAGGGCAAAGTACACAACATCTACCTATCTAATAAGGAAGATGCTTTTGTAGAGTTAAAAAAAAAAAAAAAAAAAGGTAACATTATGTTATACCGGAAAAAAGCTACCAAATACTTTTGCAGACAACCATTTCAAAAGCAAAAATCAAATATAGCCTTTATTAAACTGCTAGTAATCTATTAAGACACTTAGGTCTATTTACCACCATGAAGATCTTTACAAGAGGAAGTGGTTCATATTCATGCTTCACAAGTGGGGAAGCAATAAAAAAAAATCTGATGCGGGTTCATAGCCACATTTTAGTTAAAAAAATAAGCACCTATAAGCACTTTTCAAGCACATTTTGAGGAAAAAATAAGCACCTGTCTAATTATACTATACACAACTGCATAACCTTAAAAGAAAAATTAGACTTGTAATTTAAAATATAAGCAATGCAATATTTATAAAGAAAATTAGCATTACCTCAACCACGGAAAACAATTAACTTTTTTTTTTTTAATTTTAAATGACAGTTCAATTTATAGAATTAGTTTACAATGAGAAGGAAAAAAAAAAAAAAAAAAAAAAAAAACTATGCAGAACTAAACTATATTACAAGATTTAATGATGAAATTTCAGTTCAAAATATAGAAAATAAATAATAATAAGCCATATCAATTGTATTCGTTTGGCACCTAATAAAAAATACAATTTATTTTTCCACTCATATTAATATTTAAATAATTTAACTTAAATCAAAATTCTGAACAATTTCTAAATTTTCATTGCATAACAGTTTTCCCTTAACATATATTCCAAGCAAAGTAATTTAAGTAAAAAAGAGGCACATTTCTGAAATCAGAAGACGGGAAATTGCTTCATGCAGTCTCCTTTAACAGTAAAAGCTTAACTAACCCGCATACTTGGAAATTGCCAAATATTCCGGATAGTAACTGGAAAAAGAGGAGTGGGGGAAGATAGTAGCCGTTCTTTAGATTTCTCGGCTAAATAAATGATTTTGACATTTCGATATGTGCATCATATAAAAACAGACCAACGGAACTGAGAAATATTCTACTTAGAAAGCACAGAAAAACTCTTTTAAGTGTTCATAAACAAATCTCAGACGGAACATCAAAATTAATTATCTCTGCAAAATACCGCAAATGTTATTGTGCAATACGTGCAAATGCGGCGTAATTCTTCCACATGTGATATTACACAATCGGAATCAACAGCTGCCAGTATTCGGAGAATAAAGAACTAAATAAAGGAAAAGAAAGAGACTTACTAATTTGGGGTGTTTCTGATTCTAATTTTCAACAGACTGCGTTAAATTTCCAGAATAGAATCAATCTTCGCTTAGGTTGGGTAGACCGCAAAATCTTTTAGTCCTATTCAATCCAGATTGGACAGTGTGTGTGTGTTGTGTGTGAGGAGGGAATCCGCTGCTTCAATATTAGAGATTTTGCGGAGAAAGTGGAGAACCTCCCAATCTCCGTACTGTATAATGTATTGGGGGGGGGGAGCAATTATTTTGACTATTCGATTACCTTCCCTTTATTTAAGCCATTCCGAATATTATTCCCTAGAAAACTAATCTGTGTAAAAACACGTCCATTTTTGGAAGTTTATCTATACTTCAGCAGTTACTGCAACTATATTATTATAAATATTCATGTATTTACTCATAATATAAGCATAACGATCATAATAAACATGAATATGAACTGACCACGCGGAACAAGAATGCAAATTATTAAAATCTTGATAGAAATTCAAACGTGTGTAGTATTTGGGTGGGAGGAAAAGAATACCGAATGTAACGGAATTTTCTACCATTTTCGCAATTCTTTGACCAATAGAACGACGTGCACCAGTCTGTACTCTTGCGCGCACCAAAGGTTACGGTAAAGCAGAGAAAGGAGGGAAAAGCAATTTCCGGGAGTATGATTCACCATCTCACATTGCATGTAAGGAAGAAAAGTTGTTTATTTAGTTTTGGCTTCGACACGGGAAAAAAATGCAAGTTCATAAAAAAAAAAAAAAAAAAAAAAAAAAAAAAAAAAAAAAAAAAAAAAAAAAAGAGCACTAAAAGCAAAAAATAAGCACCTATAAGGGCCTTTATAATTTATTTTCAAATATAAGGACTTATAAGCACTTGTAAGGACCGCTATGAACCCTGTGATGTGTACACCACATGACTTCCTTGTATGGAATATTAAATTATATGCATTTTTTCTTGCATTTTATTTAAACTTATTAGATTGACTTAAACCTACTTCGCCGACAGCGCATAAACCACAACAGAATAAATGCATTCTTTAAAATTCACTTTGTTTATCATAGCGACACTCTGCCGCTAGGTTTACTCAACAGTATTATATTTCATTCGTATTATAACTCAGAATGCACATAATGTATATCATTTAAAGAATTATCTATATTTATACTGTATCGTTGCCACATATTCTACAAATACTATAATAAATACCATAATTCAAATACTATAATAAAGCTAGAACCATGTATAAAAGAAATTAAACAAACAAAACAAAAAGAAACAGTTTTTCACAAATGATTGAGTATTTCTCATTTAATTAATTCAGTTCTCACTCCACGAGAACGCAAAAATACATAAAAACTCAAAATATCTATATTAAAAATTACTAAGTAAATCTCAAACACTTATTTCCTCGAAAAAATTCCAGAAAGAATTAAGCATGATTTAATTGGCAATAATAAATGAATGCATTATCTTTGTTGTTGCGAAGCTAAGTTTCTCTAGATTGGCAACAAATCCACTAGTCTCCTGTTTCAAATGTAAACATCAATGGCCGCCATTAAACACAGGCTTAGCGGCAATTAAACAACTTTAAAATTGCTGATAATTCTAAAAATATTGCACACAGATTTACTAAAGGCATAAAATCCTTAATCGAAAGATAAAAACAACATAATTCATTCATTTTTAAAGCAAAAAATGTACAATTTACAAACATATAAGAGTAATGAAACTGAGATCACCGAGCCGGGTAATAGAGTGGATATATATATAAATATATTTACATACGTTTGATGCGGCTGATTGCAACCAAAATACGAGGTGCACATCTACATGTTATAGCAGTCCTATATACAAAATTTCAACATTCTGAGGCTACTCGTTTTTGAGTTATGCGAGATACGTACATACGTACATACGTTCGTACAGACGCCACGAAAAATTCTCTTCAGAATTAATTTTAAAGCAGTTTTATAATTTTTTTGAAGGAAAAGAGTAGTTTATTCTGTCCTTACGTACAGATATGATGCACAAACATCGTTAAATTGCATTTGATAGCGGTCAAAATGGATATTTTCGTTGAAATATGCTGCCTGAAACTTTTCGCGATTACAATACTTCCTTTTTACTTCGTACAAGGAAGTAAAAACCTATATAATCAGTCATATTTCTGAAGTTAAACTAAGAAATAATGCTTGCACTCAATAATCTCATTCATTTTAGCAATAACTTTAAATTCTTAAAAATATAACTGGTTATATTTCCTTCTGAAAGCTGCAACTAACAGCAATAACACTAAAATAGTTAAGATAAAAAACCGTGGAAAAATATATTTGAAAATTTCTTTTGCACGAAATGCTACCTTTTTGAAGTATTTTAATTATGATTAGCAGAATGAATAAAATATTGATTTTTCTACTGCAAAAGATCTAATCATTCAGATGAATTAAAAAATTTGTAAGGTAGTAAAACATCTGACATTAGAAGGGGAGAAATAATTACATTTCCATTGTCTAATAGATTTTGATACAGTATATGCCATTACAAATGTACTTTCATTTCATAATTTGAAAAGACAGAAAAGAGAAATTCTAGTTTCCAAATGGGAGTGGGAATGATTAACCTCTTGGCTTATACAATATCTGCCAACTGCATGAGCTATAGTAAACAAGAAAGTCGGTCGCGTGCCGTGCCATTCAACTGTTCACCCGTGTACCCGAACTGGCGCAAAATGTATACTTTTCATGACATATATATTTCAGTGTAACGAAAGGAAGTGTGAAATAACAAACAATGTTCAGGTACAAATAGTAATTTTAAGCCGCCTAGTATGTAATCATAATCAATTCATCAGTTGACAAAAATAATTGCATGATGGGTATAAGACTTTTTTTAATTCTTTATATAAAATTTCATTTGAAACATGTGAATGTAACGAAGCTTTATGGGGAACTATAGTAAAAGGTCATCCAGTTTCATCAGAAACAACTGGAAAAAAAAAAAAAAAAAGAAAAACAGGAAAAATATTTGATGTAGAATAACTTCAATTGCTTGTTCTAATAATAATAAGTGGCATTTCATGCAAAAAATTCCTCACCATGAGTCAGACTCGTGGCTTTTGTTTATGACACAAATTCTTTACCATGAGTCAGACTCATAGCTTTTGTTTATGGCACAATTCTTAACCACGAGTCAGACTCATGGTTATAGGCCAAAGGGTTAAATATAGTTTTTAAAAACAACTGTAAATATAAATCTAAATATTACATTAACTGAAAATAATTTAAAATCCAAGCTTACTTGACTTCTTCTAATTTCTCTCTGACACTAGCTCCAATGGTTCCCAGTGCTTCAGTAGTCTTTTCAGTAGCAGTTTTTAAGGTCTGACTAGTCTTCTGGAATCTGGAAAAAAAAAAATCCAAATTTATTGTAGTATAAATCAAATTACTTGTTAACCAACAACATAAATAAAAAAAAAAAGTTGCCATTTCTAACACACAGACAATAGTTTTATCATGGAAAAACAGAATAAAAAATGAGGTAAAAATAGAGAAAATTCCTAAAATTTTCCCAGTCTGGAATCTACACTGATATTTCAGAAGGAAGTAAGGATGGATATTACAAATGATGCAATAACACAAGTAACTATAGTACATAAACAAACTCAAAATTATATTATGCATTTTTTAAATCAAAATTTATATTTATAGACCAATCAAATTCTAGAAACACATTTTCGAAACAAGATGGTATTTATAACTGGTTGATATTTTTTTGTTTTACTGTATAGTGGTGGCCAAAATTGTGGACACTTTTGGAAATTTTTATGTTTTTGAAATTTGTATGCTTATAGAAAATGATACGTTTCGCAAAATGCAAACTTGTATATATCATTTTAAAGAGAATTTATTACTGAATTTAATACAAAACACAAAATTCAATTATTTGCAATACAAAAAGAGTTATATGTACTTTAATATAAATAAAAAACACAGTTATGAAGTGGTTTGTAATGTCTAACTTTCCTGACCAATCACTGTTCTTGTTCTGAGAACCAATCAAATGTTAGTAACTGCCAGTAGAAGCTGGACCTGTTTCTTATACACTGCAATTACAAGTAGGAATTTTTGTAAAAATTTTTAATATTTCGTCAAGAAGCAATGACATCAAATAAAAGAGTAGATTGGACACCTAGAAAGAGATGTAATATTATTGTGTTACGAGAAAGTGGTCTTTCCTATGCTGAAATTGCAAAACAGGTGAGTGGTTCAGTGACTACATCTGGAGTCTGAAAGTTTTGTTTACGATATCAGGAGACAAATTCAATAAAAAACAAAGAAAGGAAAAGGCGAAAAAGGTGCACCACATCTATTGATGACAGATGAATAAAAAGACTATGTCTCCAAGATAGAAAAATGTCATCAGCGGCCATCAGAAGTGATCTGAATGATGCTGGTGTTTCTGTCAGTTCAAGAACAATCAGGAGAAGATTAACAGATGTTGGACTGAGAGGTAGAATTCCACAAAAAAGCCTTATCTTAATTTTCAGCAACGAAAAAAAAGACTACAGTGAGCAAAGGAACACATTAATTGGACAGATGATCAGTGGTCACAAGTTATATGGAGTGATGAAACTAAGATATCATTATTTGGTAGTGATGGGCGAAAATATGTAAGACATAGAATAGGAGAAGAGCTACATCCTCACTGCATTCAAGCAACTGTGAAGAACCCAGTTAGTGTTATGATTTGGTCATGCATGTCAGCAGATGGTATTGGTCGCCTTCATGTCATCGATGGGACACTGAATGCCAGAAAATACATTGACACTATTCTAGAAACAAAACATCTACCTTCCATCAGAGATCTCTTTGCCAACAATGCTTCGTTTATTTTTCAGCAGGATTCTGCTCCTTGCGCCACACGGCCAAAATATCGAAAGAGTGGTTTCGTACAAAGAGCATTAAATTGTTGTCATGGCCAGGAAACAGTCCTGACCTCAATCCTATCAAAAATTTGTGGCACTGTTTGAAAACTCTTGTCCAAATGAGGCACCCATCAGATAAAAGGGAATTAATTAAGGCTATAATTGTTTCCTGGCATTATGTAATAACGAAAGAAGAGCTTAAAACTCTTGTCAGCTTGATGAAACATCGATGTGAAGCTGTAATAAAAAATAAAGGATACCCTACTAAGTACTGATAACTCACTGCAATTATCACTATCTAATGTATATCGATAACTATTATCGCTTAAGTTTTTTGTATTGCAAATAATTGAATTTTGTGTTTTGTATTGAATTCAGTAATAAATTCTCTTTAAAATGATATATACAAATTTGCATTTTGTGAAATGTAACGTTTTCTATAAGCATACAAAGTTCAACAATGAAGGGCAACTCTCAAGCCTCAAGAAATAGCTTTTTTAGCTGAGGCTAACTCATTAAGTTTACTGATATATTTTATAAACATTTAGTGTGTTCCTTTTGCTATGGCAGACATTATTGAAAAGATTTATTTGGGCAGATTGAGAAGTTGACCAACACCATAGATCAATGGGCTGAACAGCAGCAGAGAGATACAATTGCTGAGTCCTGACAGTTCTGACTGGGGTTCAGATTCAAGGCCATGGACAGGCTGGCTGCATGGCCATTTTTGTGGCTTTCCTCATGTGTAACATCTATACGAGCCAGTTTCCCTTAGACAGTCCTCCATGAAGGCTTCCCTTCCTTTAGGCAGATAGCCTTATTTTTTTGTGCTTTGCACATAATCAACTAAAACTAGATTGTGTGCTTTGCACATAATCAACTAAAACAAACCAAAACCCTAGTCGAATGAAAACAGTAATGATAAACTTTTAAAAAGACAGTTTTCCAATTTTCTACTGCAGACAGCATTGCTGAGACAATTTTGAAGATTACCTTAGATAAAATTTACCACAAAAAGTAAATATCATTTTTGAGAGTACATCATCAAAACGTACTTCCAAGGTGGAGAGGATATACAAGGAATGCGAAAATGATGAGTTAATACAATTAAAATTTATCTCTAGATTTAAAAACCTTGTGCCTTTCCCTATGGGATTTTGTGAAAGATTTCCCACTAATCTCCAGAAGCTACACAGCCAATGCAACAATTAAGGTTAATTGATCGTGACTTATTGGCATGTGAGTGAAATAAAATGCAGTGTTGTGTACATATCTGCCATTCAAACAAAAGGTGGATATACAAGCATTTGCAAAATGTGTTAAAAAAAACATGCTTGCTTGTATTTTAGTACACTAAAATTTGATATCAGTTGTATTGCTTATTATTACGAATTTTCAGCATAATACAACCCAAACATATATATTACAACAGTTTTATAATTAAGAGAAAGAAAAATTTAAATGAAAGTTATTTAAGATACAAAAATTTAAATGCAAGTTATTTATAATCAAATATACTTATTAAAAACCTTTTCTTAAAAATATATTAAACTACAAACTCCACATTTGAAATTTATTGAACTGCATGTTATCAATAAGGATTTATAGATTTTGTTCGTGTATGCTAAACGCTGAAGTTCACAGAGACATTTGAGGGTATTATTTACTTGAAGAAGAAGTTATATTTACTATTATTACTTATATTTACTATTATTACTTGAGAAGCAAAATCATTTGCATTTAAGGGTGAAAATGTATCAAATTCTTAATCGTCCTGTAATAGGTAACAAATAATTTAACAACCACAACAATGAATGACTCCAAAATAGTTCACCTTTCAGTCCCACGCAGAAACTTAGAAATACTTGTAAATCAAATTTTATTTATGCAGATAAAGAGAAGACTTCAGTTGAAAGAGTATCAAAAATAGCTATATTTATGCATAGGCATAAAATTTCACCAGTGAGTATAGAAGGCCAATACTTTCAAATACCAAAACAAATTCTTGCTGTATAACAAAATATCAACTGTAACAGCCCAACATTTTTTTGTTTTAAAAACACAGTCTAATATTTTTGTCATATCATAAATTTCACAAATATGTTTTATGAAGTGAAATTTATTGTAATTTAACTGTTTTCATATTGCCATATGTGCCATTAACAGCGGAAAATATTTATAAAATTATATATCAATCTAATATAAAGTAATTGCATTCATGCTAATCAGAAAGTCAGTTAAATATACAGGAGAAGCTTTTAGTACTTGAAAATACCTTAATAAATTCTAGATAACAATTTGAAATAGCATACAATACAAAAAAATTTCTCTCTATATATTTTTTTATGCTTGCTATGATATGTATTCAGATGAGTACACATTCTCAACCACAAACAGTATACTTTGTATCACTAAATGGAAAATAATTTTCAAACTAATAACCAACTTAACACACATAAAAATTATTCTAGATCAGGGTTGGCCAAACTTCATGTCGGTAAGAGCCGCACGTTTGAATTCAAGAATGTTTGAGAGCCGCATCTAGATTTTCTATAAGCAACAAGTTCATATTTACATCATTATAGAAGTAGTGAAGGAGGTTTTAAGTAGAAAGAATTCCCTGATAACTTTGTAAAAGGAGTCTAAACTAATTAATTACTTCCTTTTTGGACACTGAAATAGTTTTAGTTTAGCCTATTTCATACATATATTTTATATGCATGAGCCGCACTTTGGCCACCCCTGTTCTAGATTTTATGCTACAACAGACTTTACTCTAAATTTCTTTCAAAAGAAATTTTCATGCTATTTTAAAATAACATAATAATAATAATAATAAACTGAAAGGTTTCAGATTTTAAATTATGTGCAAAGGGGCATTTTTGTAACATTTTGTCTGTTACCTTTATTTATTAAATATCACATTATTCGCATTTAAACCATAAAATTCAGTTCAAGAGCAATATCTTTAGAATTTCCGATATGTAGTCTCACGGGCTGGAGATAAAAATGTTTTTTTCTGTACAACGTTGAATTGCTCGCTTTGAAATTCTTGAGCTTGTTAATCGAAAATTTGTTAAAGATTTACAAAATATGAAATCGATAATAAAACAAATTCCAAATTTGGGCTTCCACATGCTCATATTCACAGTAGGATTACATAATTCAAAATTCGATAGCTCTACGTACCGTTGTTTTATCACAATGCGAGAAATATATATGCATTTATGCAGATTTTTCATTCTTTAATTTTTTCAAATATAATACAGGACTCTAACATTTGGCGACAACAGTTTGTGAAACGAAATTTTATAGTGAACCAACACAAAATCGCAAAACGAAAAACAATAGTCCTTCAGGGACAAAAAGCCCCTTTGGACTAATAATAATAATAATAATAATAAACCCCTTAAATAGAAACTTAGAAAATTTGAAAAATAGAGATGAAATAGACATAGAAGACTTGTATATCACAGTCCACACCATATTTTATAATATACACATTAACCTTTTACTGTAAGCAATTTCATACATTTGAAGTTCCACTGTTCTGGCATAAAATGTCAATTTTAAAACAATGCGACCCCTTTTAAAAACAACTACATGCCAATAATGAAATTAAGATGATGTTAGTACAACAATAAGAGAACAGCTGGCATAACATAACTCCCTCTATTGCCAAAGGGAGATTGTGGGGCTGATAAAGGTGCTTGACAAGGCTTAGCTGGGACAAGGGTAAGGTAGGTGATATATTTGCTTCAAATGAATGACTAGGAAGGGCCCCAAATTAGCTGTGAAATTTTATAAATACATTTAAAAAATAAATTATGATAGCAAATTTTCAATTTCAAAATGAATAAAGCAGCACCATTTTAAAATAAACTTAAAGCAATAAAAAGAGCTGTATATTCTTGTGCACTTGCACAACTTGTGAGCTTTTCTTTAATCAATTAACCTAATAAAAATAAAAATTTAATATTTAAAATGGGACAAAAAATCACTATCACAAATTTAACATTATTTTGTTCATTATTTTTTATATTTATACAATGCTCAAACTTATATAAGGCACAGAATGATAAATCATTACAATGGGTTGAACCTAACAGTCTCTAAGCAAATCCGTTAAAATTTTATGTATATCTTTGTGGAATTTAATACTAGAAAAAAATTAATAAATAAAAATAACATACTGTGGTCAAAAGCTTTAAATATACATATAACTGCAAGGTTAACCTGATACTGAATACTGACGAATGGGTTTACATGGGTATTTTCACAGTATTCCCCCACATGAAGCATAAATACAAGTCTATTTCACTTAGAAAGTCCTCCACAACCAGCATTTTTTTGCCTTAAATAAATAGTCCTCATATGTTTACCATACTGAATTAAACAAACAAACCTAAAAGAAGGATTATATCTTTATTTACAGAATATAAAGACAAGTTGAAAAGAAAGGTTATTACATGTACTAATTTTCTGAATACACAAAGTTTTGATTGTTTTGATTGCAAATATTATAAAAATTAAGGCATAATTTGGTATAGGTAACTGTTGAATAACTGTTGTTGAGCTGAATATAGAAATACAGTTAATTTGGTTGTATACAGGGGCACGTATTCATACCTTTGCCTCAATTTGAAAAAATACCCAGATATAGCTCTGTATAGCAGGATACATGTCCTTTACAAAAACACATAATTATTCTAATACTTATTCTTCACATCTTACTATTAAAAATTTGAAATTAAGCACAATTATTTTTACCAAAAACTCATTCTCAATAAAGGAGCTTCCAGCATGTACTCATGATTTAGTAAAAGGATGGAAAAAATCTGGGTTTTAATCAATTGAAGATCACAACTTAATTTTAATGAAAACGACCATAAACTTATGCTTTTCCTTTCCTAAACTGTAAAATATGAACAGTAATTTCTAAATGAAGGAAACGATTAAAATTACATGCACGCAAGTTCCGTAATGCAGTTTTAGAAAAAAGATATAAAATAAAGCCAGCGATATTATGGTACAAGAAACTCATATTACTACCTCACCCCATCATATTTTTGGCATGGGCAGTAACATGTTAAACAAGCTACCTAAGAAGGAAACTGTGACATCATACAAAGCCTACTGTAAAGTTATGATTAAGAAACATCACTTTTTTCAGTATGGTTTTTCTGAAGCATGGACATGAACTTGATGTTAGAATTAAATAATTCTTAAACAAAATTAAATTCTTTAAAATGTAAACTCAAGAACTTTACTCATGTTAGGCAAAAATGTAATCACATTAAAAAAAAAAAAAAAAAAAAAAAAAAAAAAAAAACTTACAGGAATCAAAACAGCAAACTAATCAATGTCTTAATTAACTGATTAAATACTAAAGTTTTAAAATATAATTTTAGGAAGAATTAATGAAATTTTATAAAATGACAACAAGTTTAAAATTTATATTTCAAATTAGAAACAGAAATAAAGACATCCTTTGGTGTTTTAAAAATAGTATTCCAGGACTTCTGAAAATATCTGATTCTATCCAGAACATGGAAAACAAGAGAACTGAATAAAATAACAAGGAAATCATAAAAAAAATATGTAAATGGAAATGTGAGAGAGGAAAGATCCAAATTCAATTATAAAAGAATAGTTGTTCAAAGCAAACTACGTACGCAGTTGATTCTTGGATGTTGCGAATTCCTTGTTCCATGTCATCTTTGAGTTCTTTCCAGACAGTGATACCAAGCTTTCTCTTTAGATCTTGCATCTTCTTAATTTTAGATGATAAAACTTGTCTTAGAGTATTTATTTCCTCTTCAGTCTAGATAAGGTAAGATATATATCTATTAATGAATTTTCGTTTCTTAGCAATGAAAGCTTTCTAATAAAATTGTTTTAAAACTGGGCTATTACAATAGACAAAAGAATATAATATATAAAAATATACTGGTGATAGAAAGAACAGTATTTTCATCCAGCCACACTTCTGAAAAATACTTTCATTATATCCAGTTATAAATCTTCATGTGCAAGAAAAGTATAAGAATTAATTTCAAAATATCTAAAGGTTATATATTGCATACTTTGGCCTTACCAATATTTAATTCTATAATACTAAAGCAGAATATTTGAAAATATCAACATGTATTGATTTGTAATAAAACTTCCCCAATGTACCATATAGAAAGTGATTAATTTTTTTAAATCTTAATCATTAAATACTATCATACTAATTAAAAAGATTTCTTATTAAACTACTTTTATGTATTGCATAACAGCTTTCCTTATTCTTCTTCCATTAACATTAATCTGAAATTTATATTCAAAAGATGTTTAGTTGTTGTCAATGGCTGCTGCATAAATGCATGTTTTTCTTGAAGTTATTTTTTCATGCTTTGGCTACACTATATTTTAATTTTATGTTTAGAATATTACAAAGAGGAAATGTGCTATGTTTTCGTACCATGGTGGACTGTATGTTTTATTTTGATTACTTAAGTGGATTGCCTGCTTTATTTTGTTTATTTATTCCTCTTTTTTGTTTCTTTACTGGCAAACTAACTGAATGAATGAAATTCGGACAGAGTTTTGTAACAGTTGTGTACATTTAAAAAAATTAATTTCACATAGATGTTAAAAAAAATGATGCATTAATTGTCTATGAAAGTCATCACAAATTCATCCAAGTTCATATTTAAAAGTTTTAAAATATACATTAAGAAAATAAAATACAATGATATATATGATAAAGCTATACAAAACTTTTTAACATTTTTTATCGGGAATTTATTTCTTTAAAGCATATTTTATAAATCTTTTATTTAACTTTTAAAAGAAAGCTTTTTAATAATTTCATACAGGCTTATACGTTTAAAAAAATTACATGCATAAATTTCTCAATATTAAACTTAAATTTTACCTTGCACTTAGCTTTTAAAATTATTATACAACACATATGGTTAGACAGCTAGTCATGAACTGCATGAAACTTTTTGGCCTGTTAAATGCCATCTGTGTTATTAAAAGCATTAGTTTATTTCCAAAATATAATTTAAAATAGATACTATACTACAAAATGTTTCTTTGAAATCACTATCTTATTTCTGAAATTATATTACTTTTAAATTACAAATTAGTGTACCCTACACTAATTTCCATATTTTTGTAACTTATTGCCATCATTATGCTATTTTTACAATATGCAAACCTTGCTAGTAATACTAATACTGATAACAATGACTATTGGGGGAAACAGAAAAACATGCCAGCAAATGCTTTACTAATGATATAGCTTCCGCCTTATTGAATAATACTGCAAATTAGCATACAGGTTTGTTTAACTTGCATGAGAAAAATGTAAAATTTATGTGATGATTCCATTCACATTTAAATAATTAATTAAATAATTTAAGGAAAGGTGTGATCTCTTCATACTGATCCGAATGTCAGTTACATTCGATGAAAGAACTCTTTACCTGAAAATCACTTGGAAATTGAAAATTTATTTAAAAATGATATTTATATTGCAGCTGTAATTTTTGTACACTGCATGCTGTTACAGTCACAATTATTTGTATTTTTTTCTGGAGGAATGTGTATGCGTGAAGAGAAAAGGGGGGGGGAACACTTTACCTAATTGTGAGAAATTCTATGACTGAAAGAACAAGTTTGGGATCAGCATTCACATAAAGGAAGATTGTAGCCATTTTTTCAAACATCTAGTGTATTAATTAAGACACAATAACACGCCGAACAAATACTAATTCAGAAGTCAAACAACAAATATCAGCGTTGTATTTTCAAATTTGCACAGGACTAGTTTTGATGGTTTTACAGAACTATCATCCTCAGCTGCAAAAGCGCAAATGAACGAGATAGGATATGATGATTACATAAGATAAAAAAGCCTGAATAGAAAATAAGCTAGTGGTGCCATTTGTTGATGAAACCAGAACTAAAACATAATTTCTTTAAAGGCCGAAGGCAAAAATGAATTGGAATTAGGATTGTTAACTAGAACAGAAAGATTTTTTTGAATGTGAAATGCCTCTAGAAAATCCAGTTCTCCAATGGAAGATGTTTTTTGAATAATTTTGGCAGCAGAAAAATTGAAAGTGTGATTTTCGGACCAACAATGTTGGGCAACAGAAGACATCTGTGTTTCCTTTTTTCTAACATATGCCTCATGTTCATTGACGCGAAATTTTAAGGCTTTCTTAGTTTGGACAATGTAAATTAAACCACACTGGCAAGGAATACCCCAGGAATCCATATCCGGAATGGGGTCCTTGAGTATGGAACTCAGAATTTTATTGATGGGAGAATAAACGACCCGAAAGTTAAATTTCTGCAAAATATGTGCAAATTTATGGAAAAGAAGGGAATGACAACAGAATATTTATAATCTCCTAAAACACAGCTTATTTTTCGCTTCCTTTTTTGCACGCGGTGTGGTTGCCTTTTTGTGATTGCATGGGTTTCGGTAAGCACTTTTTTGCAATTTTGAAGTTCTGTTTGTGTTTTGCATATTTAGATATTGTGCTTTGCTTGTTTGATTTAATGCATTTTGGTTGAAATTTTTTGTTTTCTATTCGTTTCAGTGTGGGATTTTTTTGCTGTTTTATTATTGGTTAGTTAATTTAGTTCAATTTTCTGCATTGTTTATCATGCCTTCATCCATTAATTGTTTCACTAAATTATGCCTGAAATGGCAAAAATTCCTGAATCATCTTGGAATACTTAAGTGTAAATGTAAAAAATTGATCTCCAATTTCAATCTAATCAAAAACCTTCCAGTCGCGTTTCAAGAATTCTGTTAAACTACAAGCTTGCCTTACTTTGATCCATCATAAGGGATACACGTCAACAATTGTCCAAAATTGAATATGAGCTCTATAAACTTCATCTGAAATTCGCTAATTCATATGCAAAATTCATTGCCCTTGAATAAGTCTTGGTCTAGAAGAACAGAGAATACAGTTAACTGTCATAAAAACACCCTTGCAGTTAAATTCGAAAAGCTTCTTTTACAGTCTTCTAGTTCAAGTAGTTCAAAAAATCTTCCCATCGTAAACATTAAGCCAATAGGTAATATTTCTAATGTTAGTTTATCAGAAGAACAAGAGATAATTCTAAAATATAATTTTAACTTCTCACAAACTTGTAAACTCTCGATTCCAAAGATTCTGGCTCCTATCGAAAAAGCTTTCAAGTTCAGTATTTTTTTCAAGTTTCAGATTCACAGAAAAAAAATGATTAGGCATCTTATCGCTCATAATGTGAAATTCAATAATAAACCTTTGAAACCAAATCTAACTGCGAGAGAAAGAGTTACAATGTGCGAAATTCATTCTAACCTGGATATTATCATTTCAAAGGCCGACAAAGGTGACCAGATAGTCGTCGTGAACATCGATGACATCGGGACACTTACATTGATGGTGTCACTAAACTCTTAAACGAAGGACCATATAATCCGATCCCTAAAGATCCTTCACCTTCGGACCTGTCAAAAATAAAAACTGCGATCAAATCTTCACAAATCATTTCAAGCAACTTAAAACATTCGCTTATCCCATCTGTTGCGAATTGTGCCAGATTATATGCTCTTCCCAAAATTCACAAAAGTGGTATTCCTTTCCGCCCTATTGTATCAAATTTAGGTACTGCCTCGTATCCATTAGCTAAATATTTAGTTTCTAGATTTTCAACTCTATTAGACAATAACATTTACACCATAAAAAATTCAATAGAGTTTGTAAAAAAAAGGTTAAAAAACATTTCTCCTAGTAATTTACTCATGGTTTCTTTTGATGTAAAATCATTATTCACCAATGTCCCAGTGGAGGGTGCATTAAGATGTCTAGAAACCAGACTTCGCGAATTTCATTTCTCTTGCATCGAAATTGATGAGCTAATTTCTCTCACTCAACTCTGTTTGAAACAAACACATTTTGTTTTCCAAAATAAATATTACAAGCAAACTGAGGGATTAGCCATGGGAAGCCCCCTCAGTCCCATCCTGGCTGATATCTACATGCATTATTATGAATCAAAATTGTTTGAAACTTTAAACTTCCCGGCATGGTTCCGCTACGTAGACGATACTTTTACCCTGTTTGAAGGTAATAAAGATGATTTAAATAAAGTTCTTTCAACAATGAATTCTATTGATCCTGCTATTCAGTTCACTTTTGAACTTGAGACTTGCAATTCTCTTCCGTTTCTCGACATTCTGGTCACACGTAACACATCCAACTTCAGTACTACGGTTTACCGTAAACCTTCATCGGTTTGCCTTCCACCACACTTTAAATCATGTCATCCGACTAAACAAAAGTTAGCTTCATTTTATTCCTATGTTTTCCGTGCTCTTCAAGTTTGCTCCTCCAAACTAGCCCTTGATGAAGAACTAAATTATTTAAAAGCAATAGCTATTGACAGGGGCTTTTCCACCCAACATTATTAATCAAGCAGTTAAAAAATTCTCATCTCAACACACTAAAAGGCCACACTCTTGTTTTTAGGAGATTATAAAAATTCTGTTTGTCATTCCCTTCTTTCCATCAATTAGCTATAAAGTTGCACATATTTTGCAGAAATTTAACTTTCGGGTTGTTTATTCTCCCATCAATAAAATTCCGAGTTCCATACTCAAGGACCCCATTCCGGATATGAATTCTTGGGGTATTTATAGGATTCCTTGCCAGTGTGGTTTAATTTACATTGGCCAAACTAAGAGAGCCTTAAAATTTCGCGTCAAGGAACATGAGGCATATGTTAGAAAAAAGGAAACACAGAAGTCTTCTGTTGCCCAACATTGTTGGTCCGAAAACCACACTTTCAATTTTTCTGCTGCCAAAATTATTCAAAAAACATCTTCCATTGGAGAACTGGATTTTCTAGAGGCATTTCACATTCAAAAAAATCTTTCTGTTCTAGTTAACGATCCTAATTCCAATCCATCTTTGCCTTCGGCCTTTAAAGAAATTATGTTTTAGTTCTGGCTTCATCAACAGATGGCGCCACGCCACTAGCTTATTTTCTATCCAGGCTTTCTTATCTAATCATTATATCCTATCTCGTTCATTTGCGCTTTTGCAGCTGAGGATGATGGTTCAGTAAAACCATCGAAACAAGTCCTGTGAAAATTTGAAAATATAACGCTGATTTTTGTTTTTTGAGTTCTGAATTAGCATCTAGTGTATTATTCAATCATAATAGCTTATGTAATAATCAGGACTGTTATGTGTTTGAATATCCCAGTAACTCATAAAACAGGAAAACAAATAAACAAGTATACTATTTATAACATAACTGGGAAAAGAAAATACTTTTGCTAATTCTCGAGTCCATTCTTCTTCAGCCTTAGCTCGAGCTTCTGGATCCATCTGCGACAACTCATGGGCTCCACTGTCTGAAGTCAAGGAATATTCCCCAGCTTCTTCTGATGTATCATAAAACGAATCTATGAAAATTAAAATGAATTATTGTATTTCTGATAAAATACTGAATTTTTACAAGTTGTAGTGTCAGCAAACGTATATTGGTAATAAAGATTCACTTTCACTATAATTTATCCATTCATTTATTTGGATAATTAATTACAGGTTATTGATATGTATTCAGACAATATCAAAACTTAAAAAAAGGTTTCCATATTTTATTTTAACTATGAACTAAATTTTCAAATCTTGCACAAGCTCTAAAACTGAAAAAATACATTGTACAATACTACAAGGATCAATGAATAAGCAATAATTTTCCAATAAAAAAATTTGGACAATTTTTGTTGATTGGTTCTATGGACAATAATGTTTTATCACTTTAAAACTGAAGAGAGGATGAAATTACACACCTAATCTTTCTTCAGAAGAGAAAATTAAAGTATTGAAACAATTACCTGTTTTTCATATCAAGAATGCATTACATCAAGAATTTTCTGTAATGTTTCTACCAGACAATTACATCTTCAATGTCAAAAGTATCAAGATGAAGTCATTTATAAAAAAGAACATTTAATTTGATTTCAGTATAAGCACTAACTATAATAATGTTATGCTTAATGCTTATATTTAAGTCTCATGAAATACAGGAAAACTTTCCTAATTTTATTTCAGTTCTATACTGAGTAATATGTATCCTTGGATTAACTTATTAAATGATCCTTTCTTATACCACAAATCACTCAAGCAGTTTCAGTTATATTTTTCGATGATATAATAGCCAAGATTCATTTTCAATGAAATAACTTTGTAGAGACATTAGGTAAATTGGAAGCAGAAAAGATGAAAAATATGCAACCGCCTTCACCGGGAATCAAACCACGGACCTCTGGAATACCGGCCCAGCGTGCAGAACCACTACACTACGAAGGATGCTAGGAAAGTGGGAGAAATACCTTATATACTCCCCTTTTTAAAGGGTGACTAGGGTTTTAGGGGACCTAGTTGTCAAATCCTGGGTGCAGAGAATCATCATTCACAACCCTTTTAGTTCGGATGCCACTTGTAGAGTCATTAGGTAAATTGGAAGCAGAAAAGATGAAAAATATACTCCCCTTTTTAAAGGGTGACTAGGGTTTTAGGGGACCTAGTTGTCAAATCCTGGGTGCAGAGAATCATCATTCACAACCCTTTTAGTTCGGATGCCACTTGTAGAGTCATTAGGTAAATTGGAAGCAGAAAAGATGAAAAATATGCAACCTCCTTCGCCGGAAATCGAACCACTGACCTCTGGAATACCGACCCAGCGTGCAGAACCACTATACCACGAAGGACGCTAGGAAAGTGGGAGAAATACTTTATAACTTTTACTCAGAATTCTTTACTTAAAAGAATGGTTATGAAAATTTTTAAAAGATGATTACCCATTAGTTTTGTCACTTACATTTAAATTTGATACAACATTATCAGTTTCAAGCATTTTTAGAGCAGAAAATTTGCCTCTCAACTTGTGTTTTCTATAGAGATTAACTCTGATTACATAAATAGTGCATAATGAGCTTAAAAAATATGAATTATATTTATAATTTCAGACTTCATACAGTTCACAATTAAAATAAATAAAACTTAACCAAAATTAATTTTAAAGTATTTATGGGGCATTTTAGATACAGAGAAAGTTTAGACTCTAGTGAAACTAATACAAGCAGCAGGAATTAGTGACATGCGTAAACCTGCAGAAATAACTTTTGTTACTTATTATTAGTTTCTGTAACGTTTAATTCTTTAACGTGTTTTTCTTGTTATAAAGACCTTAGAAAGAATATGAAATAGAGCCGAAACAGCTATTACACATATAGAAAGAACTAAACATATTTTTTATGCCAAATAGCATTTTATAACTTTTTAAATTCACAAGCATTCAAGCATTTGTTGCCATCTGTAGAATGATTTGATATAATGAGAGCGCTGAGAAAAATACTAACTTTTTTTTTTTTTTTTTTTTTTTTTTTTACTATTATTCTGCTATGAATTCTTAGACGAACTTTGAATAACTATATATTTCAGATTAAGGAATACCTTTCATTTTTAAAAGAAGCTCTTAATAAAGAGAAATTTTAAACAGTTTTTTTTTTTCCTTGAATTTCTCAAAGGCTGTACTTTACAAGTAAATATGAGTAACATTTTACACTGTTAATTTAAAAAATGGTTTCTGTAGTTTTATTTTTAAAGTAAAATTTGATACAAACTTTTAAGCAAAAATCTACAAATGTTCATACAGTTCACTTTGTAAGAAGGCACACCCGAGATTAAATACATTATTTTCATTATTTAAATAATATTTGTAATGAAAATTAACTACATGTGCTTGCAACTCAGAATATTTTGATAATAATAAGTTTTAAGGGCTGTAAAATTTTGAAGTCATTTAATTTCTTATCATTAAAATAAATTCCTATATTAGTCTTTTTGATCTACAAAATTACATTTTGTCCACAGAGGAAAAGATTTAAAAAAACTTTGTCTTAAAATATTTTTTAAAAATTCGGAGGTACTATGGTTCAATTAAAAGTGTACTATAATTTCAATAATCAAATACTGAAAACTGTGATGTAAAGTTGAAACACATAAAAATGACTGTTTTACTATTAAGGGATGACATTTTTTCTGCTACACCTGAAAACTTTTATCACATAAGATGGCCGATATATTTATAATACTTAATGCTACAAACATTTTAGAACATATAAATGTAAAAAGCTGTTTAATTGATTGAAAGTAAGTGAATTTTTTTCATAAAGAACTGTGAAATACATACTACTTGATTAAACATCTTTATGACATATTATTACTATTCTTTTTTATGTCTCATATTACTATTATTTCCATGTCCCATATTAGAATAATATGGGACCCCCCATTACTAATATTTCCATGTCCCATATATTAGAGTAATATGTGACCCCACATTACTATTATTTCTCATGTCAAAAATTTTATGTCACACGGCTAAAGTTATGTTTATAAAATAAAACACGCATAACAGTAAAAATTTCATCAGAAAATTTGTTAGGTGATTTAAAGCTTAAAAACTATATTAAGAACAACTTTTAATTTTTTAAACATTTTTGCAGTTTACTGAAGGACAACAACTCAGAGAATGGAAATCTTAAAACAGATATTAGGAAAAGTTTAAATTTTAAAATATATTTGAATAATTAATCTAGTAAATTTTAATTAAGAGAAATAACTATTACTAAACATTTAAAATAATAGCTTCTGGAACACTACTTTCTCTGAAAGACAGAAACTATTCCTCAGCAAAGCATATTCCAAGCTAAAGAAACAACATTATATCACAATACCAAAGTCTTCCATTTCTTGAGCAGAGGCTATTCTGCTGAATCTTTGGTAATTAGCATTTTGCCGGTCTGTGCCAAAAAAAATTCCATTAAAGAAAGATGAACTTCTTCCTTTCCCCATATGATCTGCGAAGGTAAACTCGGGAGTATACAAATCGTCTTCTAAACTAGCTCTCCGGGCGGGAGTATCAGTATTTTGTTCTTTCGGCAGAATCGGCATCTTATCCAGTTCAGATTTAAACTAAGAACAGTAAGAGAATTGTTTTCACTTCCGGAAGTTAATCTCCATATTTGTGTGCAGGAATGATTTACAGTCCAACACAGGTACTGATAAATAACAGTCAAAATTCAAGAGCATGTTTAATTATTCCAGTAAATAATCATTAATATCGAACATCGACTTTACAGTGACGGAATGCAAAAGAAAATGGACACGCCTTTGACCTACATTCTTATATGCTTTCGTGCGAAGCATTAAAAATCTAATCGACATCATCATTTGGCATATTTCACAGGTAACAGTAGGTATTCACGTCAACATTGCAAACGCATCTGCAGGGCTAGGTTCAATGTGGCTTACAGAAGTAGTGGGCGGATGCCATGCAGAAGAGTTGACACAGCAGCTCGCGGGATACACACCATCCGCATTTCATCCACTCTTAATACTATAGAAACCTGTTTCTTTTAGTCATCGTAGAACGAAGCAGGTGAGACAGCCAATGACCTTCCACGTGATTTTCCGAATCCCAGCGCCTGTTACGCAAGGCTGCCTTTTTTTCTTTCTGATTACAGTAAAAAAAAAAAAAAAAAAAAAAAAAAAAAAAGACTTGAAGTTTCCGACTTTTTTCGTCTTATCTGGGCTATTTCCATCTTCTGATTTTGAACACTTGAAAATAAGATGTTTCCTTATATCTTTTACTTTCATAACACAGTTTTTTAATCTCTATCGCAAGATCATTTGAATGCATTGTTTTGGAGGAAAATCTTTCTTTTAATGTCTTTTTTCTTTTAAAAGCAATGAAAGCCTTATTTTAGGTCACTGTGCAGTGCCAGTCTTAATACGTTTGCTAGAATAGAGAAAAATAAAAATATAACTTTTAAATCATGCACTGGAACACATTTGGAGTTAATATATCCGAAACTAGAGCAGAGTCTTGGAGCATTTCATGTAAGTATTTACACCCAATGAAAACTGTATAACGGAAACATCACAAATGAAATTATGGAAATTTAAATGTTTCCCAAATTACACATTTTTGTTTTTTAATAACACTTTTGAAATTCAAAATGCAGTTTTTATAACAAAACGCTTTCAAACGCACAGACAAAGTGTACATTAATTGGTAATGCATAAATCAAATACAAATATATTAAAATAAGAGAATATGGGCAGAATTATCCAGCAATGACAGTCCTCCTATACATCAGTAATATCTAAGAAAAGGCTTTCTGGATATATAATAAATACATGATTATTTTACCTGGTAATAAAAAAAGTGGACCCAAGCTTTTGTTTTGAAGATGCATTTCCTCTCCACAAAATCTTTACTCTTCTTATTCATTATATTTTTACATACATTTCACGCCACAATAACATATCAACAAGCACTTCTTTTAGTCTCAAAATCAGATTTTACATCATTTCTCTCAATTTCGTTGCCATTCGGAAAAACATATTATTCTTTCATATTTAATTTGTCGGTTAAAAATTAACAAACTATTTAAAAGCAATAGACTCTGTTTCTTAAGAATATTGCTTTAAAAAAAAAAAAAAAAAAAAAAAAAAAAAAAAAAAAAAAACTGAAATTTTTCAGATTTTAAATTACGTCCGAAGGGCGTTTTTTTTAACGTTTTGAGTGTTACCTTTATTTATTAAATATCAGGTTCTTTGCACTTAAACCATAAAATTCAGTTCAAGAGCAATATCGCAAAATAATGTTAAATTAAGCATATCTTTAGAATTTCCGATATACACAGTCTCGCGAGCTGGAGATAAAAATATTCTTTTTTCTATATAACGTTACCATTTCTCGCTTTTAAAGTCCATTGAGTTTGTAAATCAAAAATTCGTTAAAGTTTTACAAAATATAAAATAGATAATAAATAAAATTCTAAATTCCAAATTTGGGATTTCAGATGCCCATATTCGTAGTAGGAAACGTTCGCTCATTCAAAATTCGATGGCTCTATGTACCTTTGTTTTATCACAATGCGAGAAACAGACAATCATTTATGCAGATTTTTCATTATTTAATTTCTTCAAATATAATGCAGGACTCTAACATTTTGTGGCAACAGTTTGAAAAGTGAACCGACGTTTATAGCAGTCCGACGCAAAATCGCAAAACGAAAACAATAGTCCAGGGACAAAGACCCTTTGGACTAAAAAAAAAAAAAAAAAAAAAAAAAAAAAACACGAAATGTTTCAGATTTTAAATTACGTCCAAAGGGGCGTTTTTTAACATTTTGTGTGTTACCTTTCTTTATTAAATATCATGTTCCTCGCACTTAAACCATAAGATCCAGTGCAACAGCAATATCGCAAAATAGTTTTAAAACGAGCATATCTTTAGAATTTCCGATACAGAGACTCACGCGCTGGAAATGAAAATGTTTTTTCTGCACAACGTTGCCATTGCTCGCTTTGAAATCCTTGAGTTTGTTAATCAAAAATTCGTCAAAGTTTTAAAAAATAGGAAATCGATCATAAAACAAATTTCAAATTTCAAATTTGGTCTTCCACATGCTCATATTCGTTGGAGGATTACGTTATTCAAAATTCGATGACTCTATGTACCGTTATTTTATGACAATGTGAGAAATATACATACATTTACGCAGATTTTCATTATTTAATTTCTTCAAATATAATGCAGGACTCTAACATTTTATGGCAACAGTTTGAAAAGTGAACCGACATTTATCCGTCCGACGCAAAAATGCCAAAACGAAACTAATAGTCCTTCGGGATTCAAATCCCTTTGGACTAAAAAAAAGAAGAAGACTACATTATCCTAGTTAAAGCTAGGACTTAGTTAAGGCTTTATGTTACTGGGTTGCTTTCTCATAAAGCTTGCAACGAATATTTCCTTGAAGAAACAACACTTTTCATTTTGCCACGGCGCAAAATTCGGAAACCGAAAACATTAGACCTGAAAAGAAATTTCCTTCAAGGTGTTTAAAAATTTTTCTCCTGAATTATTTACTTAATACAATAAGCCGCCGCCTAGATTATCCGCTCGTCTCGGGATCGTCATCGTGACAGATAATGCAGTTAACGGATAACAGATCTTCTTACAACCATCAACGGACACAGTCTTCTGACAACGAAAATCCATTCGTTTAAGAATTAGTTTCAGAAAAATTAAAACAAAAGAATATAAAAAATTTTACATTTAAAACGAGTTGCTCAAAATGTCAAAGCCAAACGGTAAAAAATAAAATTAGCTACAGTAATATTTTATCGTACATTAATACCACTTGCAGACTTGAGCAGCTACTGAATAAATGAATAAAGAAAGACTTAATAATTCAATAAATAGTCCTGCTTTTATTTTGTGTAGAAGATTTTTTAGTGCAAGAAGAAACAAGTGCAATAATTAAGTACTTAACTGAAAAAAACAGCATTTAACTGGATCGAATTCAGATGCAGCCTCAATTAATTTGTGTAGAATATTTTGGTGCGGGATAATCATATTAAAAAATTTCATAAACTACACAATTTTAATCTTCCTCCCTAGTGAATATTTTGGCAACCAAGTACAAATACAACAGTAAATAATTAATCTAAAGTTCGATTTACAGATTTCTATTACAATTCTTTCCTATACTCTCATGGATAGAAACCATAATCCTAAATACACTCATAATCTTAACTAAAAAATTATTCATTTTTTAATATAATATAATTTTCTAAGTACTACATTAACATATTAAAGTCACAATAAACTTAAAAATAAAACATCATCTAATCTTGGAACTCTGTAATTTTCAAATAAATATTCACATTTTAACTATAAGATCCTATATTAGCATATTCACAAAAAATCACAAATAATGACTTTATCCTAATCTTGGGTCTAACTCCTTAATGCATACTGCCATTCAAAGAAATTTCAGATTTACATAATCACTCTGCGACTAAGAAGAGGTGAAGGGTACTTACTGCAAACTTCTGGGTCCTACACAATCAAGAGAAATAAGAAATTAGTGATGCAGTAGGATAACAATGTCAGTCATTAACACTGTCTCGTTCAGTCTTTCCACAGTTCGAAACTGTTCGTAGAGTGAAGCCGTTTCCTCTATCTATCTTCAGATATTTATATCAGTTTCGAACAGTTTCTTTACAAAACGTCGGAAAATAAGGAACAGAACCCCGGGATAATTTCACTTCATCATTCGGAACCAGAAGCCGATAGATATTCTATGAGCCTGGAACAGTCTATAATTCGGTAACAAGAATACATGCCGGGAACATTGCACAAACCGTAGCATTTTTTTCTTAGAGGATTTGTAAGTTCATGTATTTTTCCTTTCTATCTCATTACACGCTCGAAAGTCATCATCGCATTACTTTAAGTCATCATCGTTTTATTTTACACCAATAAGATGTTTTCCCTCATAAAAACCTGCGCACTTTTCTAAAAAAAAAAAAAAAAAAAACCTTTTCCAATCAAACCTTTTCTCTTTACCTACAGACCTCATATCTAATTATATGGCACTTTCTGACGTAACCAGAGCTGTGGAGCCGGTAGGGAAAATGACCGACTCCGACTCCTGGAATTTTAATGACTCCGACTCCTTCATATATATGTAAACATATAAACATGGGTACAGCTTATTTTTTTAACATAAAAGAAGTAGTAGATGCTGCAGAAAAAAACTGATGCATAGCAAATTTTTTATATTAATTAGCATTTATTATGAAATGGAAAAACTGGCTTTAGTAATTTCTAAGAAACAGTAAAACTTCGGCAAGATTCTAGAGCACCATAGACCCGATTTGATAAACTTCAGAACTGAGAAGAGTCCACACTGACTAGAGTAGGAAGAAGAGCTGTTACTGTTACGGCTACTTCCTTTAACTTTTCAGGATAGATTTTTGCAAGTTCTAAAAGAGCAATCATATTTACCTATTTCTTCACAGGCTGTGTATAAATCTTGTTCGTATTTTTTCATTTTTATATCTAAAGGCTCTTGGTTCTTTATTTTCATTCGCTTTGCCTTTTCAATATTATTCAAATATTTCTCAAAATCTTATTTTTCAGTGGAAGAAGATGATAGAGACTCGGTTGCAATATCTGCAGTTTGACTGTTCTGATTTGAATACTCCACTTGTTCTGAGAATAATTTCATTCTTAATGAAAGTTCAAGGATGGCTTTCTTTGCCTTTTTAATTTGTTTGTCATTCAACAAAATTCGGCGTTTTGGATGTACATATATTGAACTCAGCGCAATCTTATTGTTTAGCAAACTAGTTTCTCTTTTTTTCATTGAAGAAATGATTCCTTCTGCAATAAACCCTACATTTCAGAAAGAACAAACATGGCATTCTTCCAGTGTTGCCTCTTGTTAATTCTTCAGATTGCAGCTTTTTGAAGGCTATATACGGTGCTGAAAGAAGAATTTCTAGTTCTGCAAAATCATTCTAC